AAATATGGGATTAGGTATGCACTGTGCATATTATCATAATATGTCCAGTTTTCGTATTTTGGCTTAGTTTGTGTTTCGAGCTGACCATGCCATACTTTGACGGTCACGCAATCCCATTTAATGTCACACTCTTTGTGTATTTTTCACATGTTTGTTTGTTGTTTGATGCCACACTCAGCAAACAGTGATTGACATCATGAGCATTGATCCACACAATTGGGATACAACGACATGCAACAACCAAGTCAGCGAGCCTGACCACCCGATCTCGTTAGTCGCCTTATACGACAAGCATAGTTGCTTTTTACAGCAAGCATGGGTTACTGAAGACCTATTCTACCCCGGATCTTTTTCATATGTACTCAGAAACTTCTTGATATGAATTGCAATTTTGTGTATATGATCCCAGTAATTGTGTCTGTCATCGCTCGCAGATTATTCACAAAATGAAGGGGTGGTGAGGTGAGATTGGGTTTAGCGTCTTGTTCAGGATTACTGCCATATAAAGTGATGTGCATGCACTCAAGGATTGAAAGTTGTATTTGTTGACATTCATCAGTTGATGAAGACTGTGCCTCATACTGGCAAATTCCATTATGCACGAAGCGCTTCATGATAAATTGTGTTTTGTGTCTACACTGAGTGAGTGAGTGTGTGAGTGAGTGAGTGAGTGAGTGAGTGAATAGGCTGTAGCAGATGCAGCATTTTCCCTGCTCTCTGATGGATGGACACACCATACCATATGGGAATCAACTCAGGTCTTCTTACTAAGCCAACACTGTAACTACAGGGCTTGCCAACAGGGACCTTAATGAGTTATGGTTGTGAAGATTATGTTTCAGCCTGACGATACTCTTACCATGAAATTTGACTATCGTGGTGCTACTTCAATATGATTAGAAATATATTACGAGAGTATTACTCGTGAGCATTTTAATTCTCATCAAATGGAAATACACTGAAAAATAATTGCTTCCCTGTCACACCAGATTGGCATTAAAAGAAAGACTTTTGGAAAAGATAACAGAATTATTGCCAATTTCTCCCCATCTGATGTGTTTTATTGTGCCTATCAGTCATCATTTACCTCCCTCCGTCAAGTCTCATGTGCCTCACAGTTGCTGCTTGCACAAGATCAGTACTTTACAAAAAGGCTGCTTTACAACAAGGCTGCTTTACAACAAGGGTGCTTTCACAACCAAGGGTGCTTTCACAACCAAGGATACTTTCTCAGCAGAGGGTACTTTCACAACCAAGGGTACTTTCAAAACCAAGGGTACTTTACAAGAAGGGTGCTTTCATAACCAAGGGTACTTAACAAGAAGGGTGCTTTCACAGCCAAGGGTACTTTCACAACCAAGGGTACTTTCACAACCAAGGGTACTTTCACAACCAAGGGTACTTTCACAACCAAGGGTGTTTTCACAACCAAGGGTACTTTCACAACCAAGAGTACTTTCACAACCAAGGGTACTTCCACAACCAAGGGTGCTTTCACAACCAAGGGTGCTTTCACAACCAAGGGTACTTTCTAAGCAGAGGGAACTTTCCAACAAGGGATACTTTCACAACCAAGGGTGTTTTCACAACCAAGGGTACTTCCACAACCAAGGGTGCTTTCACAACCAAGGGTGCTTTCACAACCAAGGGTGCTTTCACAGCCAAGGGTGCTTTCACAACCAAGGGTACTTCCACAACCAAGGGTGCTTTCACAACCAAGGGTGTTTTCACAACCAAGGGTACTTTCACAAACAAGGGTACTTTCACAACCAAGGGTACTTTCAAAACCAAGGGTGTTTTCACAACCAAGGGTACTTTCACAACCAAGGGTACTTTCACAACCCAGGGGACTTTCACAACCAAGGGTACTTCCACAACCAAGGGTGCTTTCACAACCAAGGGTACTTTACAAACAAGGGTACTTTCACAACCCAGGGGACTTTCGCAACCAAGGATACTATCTCAGCAGAGGGTACTTTCACAACCAGGAGACTATGTTGAAGCTAAGATCTTATTTTTATGTCAGTTTGCTTTTAATAAGATTAGGTGCATGAAGTTCTAGAATAGTTTTGAAAGTTTTGAGCTAAAGGATTGTTGTAATAAACAATATTTCTTTTCAATTTTCCATCCATTACTGTAAAAATCAATTTTACACTGAAATTAAATAGCCTGAGATTTACTAATAGGCCATGGAGAGAGTAAGAAATATGTCAGTCTATTTTGATAGATTCTAAAATTGCCATATTAGATGCGCTGATAAATCCTGTTTCTTTATTAGTTTAATCGTAGTTTGAAGGAAATTGTGGATGAAGCAGTTTGGACGATTTACGGAGGCAAGTTGTTTTAAAGAGCTGTGCAGAAACATGGTGGAGGCAGTTTGTATTTATGTTGAAAATAAATGCTCAGTTTATGTGAAGTGATTTGATACCATAAATCACTAATTGCAAGACTTTGGATTTATCAATGATATATTTATGATGCTTCTAAAGATTATTAATACCCCCAAGTCAATTACATTAAAATTTGAAACTAGTGGGTAGTGGGCAGGATGTGCATGAGTTTGGAAATACCAACTAATGCAGACTAGAGGACTTTGTGTGAAACCAGCTAGATGTCTGTATTGAAAACTGATATACTTGGTGTGAAACCAGCTAGATGTCTGTATTGAAAACTGATATACTTGGTGTGAAACCAGCTAGATGTCTGCGCGGACAACTGATATACTTGGTTTGAAACCAGCTAGATGTCTGCACAGACAACTGATATACTTGGTGTGAAACCAGCTAGATGTCTGCGCGGACAACTGATATACTTGGTTTGAAACCAGCTAGATGTCTGCACAGACAACTGATATACTTGGTGTGAAACCAGCTAGATGTCTGCACAGACAACTGATATACTTGGTGTGAAACCAGCTAGATGCACAGACAACTGATATACTTGGTGTGAAACCAGCTAGATGTCTGCACAGACAACTGATGTACTTGGTGTGAAACCAGCTAGATGTCTGCACAGACAACTGATATACTTGGTGTGAAACCAGCTAGATGTCTGCACAGACAACTGATATACTTGGTGTGAAACCAGCTAGATGTCTGCACAGACAACTGATATACTTGGTGTGAAGCAAGCTAGATGTCTGCACGGACAACTGATATACTTGGTGTGAAACCAGCCAAGTAGACTAGTGGAGTCAGTCACTGGCTTGGCGTGAGGTTGTGTGGACCCTTTCATGTCTAGCATGACTTCAAACCAGAGAACCTGCTTACACAAGATATCATTTTGTCATCAAATCACATGTGTTTGTAAGTGCTGCTTCGGTTAGATGATCGTTTAATAGTTCCCAATCAGCAAATGGATTTAAGTGAAACACTTCAATTTACCTCTGATAAATCGTAAAGTTTATTGCAAAAACAAATCTAGACGAAGCTAAAAATATTTATCCTTTTCTTTTGATTAAGGACCTTTTTGCAATCAATGTCAATCGGTGGTGAATTGCACTGAATCGTGTTCCCTTTCAATACATTCTGTCAACAGCATTTCAGATGAGCTTGTTTTAATGGATTTCACCTCACAGCAAAGGTGTAAGCCTGATTGAATCAACGGAATGCCATCATAATGACGCTAACTGCTTTCAGAGTCTAATTTCCAAAATCATGTTCAATCTCTATTTCCGCAGTAGGGGCTCAAACATGATTTGGAGAGGTTAAGTTTGGAAAAAAATTAGATTCAATTATAGTCAGTGACTGATTGAGTCCTGGGTTGAACTGGTTTATCTTCATTCTTTCATGCAATTAAACTGCCTTTGTGGTCTAGCGGATAGAGCTTCTGCCCGGAGAGCGTAAGGTCAGGGGTTCAATCCCTGGCTGCATCATACCAAAAGACATTAAAAGATGGTACTTGTTGTTACCCTGCCTGAGTTGAACTGGTTTATCTACATCCTCTCTTGCAATTAAACTGCCTTCGTGTTCTAGTGGATAGAGCGTCTGCCCGGAGAGCGTAAGATTGGGGGTTCAATCCCTGGCTGCATCATACCAAAAGACATTAAAAGATGGTACTTGTTGTTACCCTGCCTGAGTTGAACTGGTTTATCTACATCCTTTCATGCAATTAAATTGCCTTTATGGTCTAGTGGATAGAGCGTCTGCCCGGAGAGCGTAAGATTGGGGGTTCAATCCCTGGCTGCATCATACCAAAAGACATTAAAAGATGGTACTTGTTGTTACCCTGCCTGAGTTGAACTGGTTTATCTACATCCTTTCATGCAACTAAACTGCCTTTATGGTCTAGTGGATAGAGCGTCTGCCCGGAGAGCGTAAGGTCGGGGGTTCAATCCCTGGCTGCATCATACCAAAAGACATTAAAAGATGGTACTTGTTGTTACCCTGCCTGAGTTGAACTGGTTTATCTACATCCTCTCTTGCAATTAAACTGCCTTCGTGTTCTAGTGGATAGAGCGTCTGCCCAGAGAGCGTAAGGTCGGGGGTTCAATCCCTGGCTGCATCATACCAAAAGACATTAAAAGATGGTACTTGTTCTTACCCTGCCTCCATTCAGCATTGAGGGGCTAAAACAAGGACTGGTCGGTTCAGAGTCAGTATGATGTGTCTGAGTTGGGTAGCCTAGTGTTTGATGTGTTCGCTCGTTATGCTGAATTGTCCAGTGTTACCTGGATCGTAACTTTGAGGTAAAGAGTTCGCTCTTCATGCCAAATGGCCAGCTTCGATTCCCGACATGGGTACAATGTGTGAAGCCCATTTCTGGTGTCCCCCGCCGTGATATTGCTGGAATATTGCTAAAAGCGGCGTAAAACCATACTCACTCACTCACTTAGATCTTGATGCACACATTATCAAACTTACTTCAGCTGTTCTTAGTACAGGAAATTGTCATTAATTTTGTAAAATTGAGCACAATTGTTGATTGTATTTCTTTTCTGCTACATGCATTCAAAATTTCTCCCTGTGGAACTTGGATGTAAACAAAAAACTGCACTTTACCTGACAAGCTTCCGTTGTACCCTTCTCGACTTTGGGCCATATCTGCAAAAGAAAACAAAGACTCATTGTTTTGACGTAGAGTGTTTGTTGAAACAACCGATAAGTCACTGAATTGTTCTGCAATTAAGGAAACAGCTGTCCGTGAGAACGAACACCTGAATACATTGTTGCATATAAACCTGCAGAGTTTTTCACTCCTGAATATTTCTGTATGAAACTGGCACTGTTTTATGACACTGTGAGATCTGCATTGAGACAGAATGTCATCCATATCGATAAGAATATTGTTTTGCCTTCACTTGCAAATGTCACTTTGATCTATTATAGCGCCTGTTGTTATAATGTGGATGGGATGAGGCTGCTATAGCTGCTCAATCCGATGATTGTCTACAGCCAAACGGTTGAATGTGATTGGAGGTACTTCAGACCCATGATTTTAGTACATTATAGTGGGGAATTAAATCCCCTAATATGATCTTATCAGTCTGCCATGTGAAATACAGCAGGCTGAACACAACAGGGAAATCCCAACATGGTTGTTGGCTAAAAATAGATTTATGCGAAATATTTCCTCAGGAATCTGTTTGACCCCATCACAAAGAAGATGCAACAACATCCCACCTGGAACCAGACTGCTGGGGAGTCTGATGGCAGGTGTCAGTGATTACAACATTTTTAGTTGAACTCTACTTTGTATATTGGATATAAGATGTGACTTTATCATCACTGTATATATTGATTGGAGAGTATGTGATCATCAAGCCCTTCTTCACATCATCTAGAATATTTTCGTCTGACACATGAATTCAAATGTTTTCTATATTTCTTCTATATTTCTTCTTCTTTTGACTTTGAGAAAGGTTTTGTCACTTTCATTCTAGAAACTTTGTACCATATCAGGTTATTTGTGAAGTGGTGAATTGTTGTTGATCATCAAATGAATAAAGACTGTCAGTGTTTCAACTCAGAACCATTCCATATAGCTCTGTGGCCCTTGAGACAGAGGGACATGTCATCTGATTACCGACCATTCCATATTTGGGAGGGGGACTGGGATTTTGTATTAAGATCAGACCCCTGAAGATCCGGGGTAGAATAGGTCTTCAGCAACCCATGCTTGCTGTAAAAGGCGACTATGCTTGTGGAAAAAGGCGACTAACGGGATCGGGTGGTCAGGCTCGCTGACTTGGTTGATGCATGTCATCAATCCCAAATGCGAGGATTGATGCTCATGATATCAATCACTGGATTGTCTGGTCCAGACTCGATTATTTACAGACCGCCGTCATATAGCTGGAATATTGCTTAGTGCGGCGTTAAACAACAAACCAACAAACAAACCAACCAACAAACAAACCAACCAATGTATCAAGATCAGATATCTTTTCAGCTACAGCGGCAAAAACATATTTTTTTATAAAAAACTATGAGCCGACATTTTTTTTTTCAAGCACCTTGCAACAATGTCAATTTTGTTGCATGCAGTTTCTTTTTTTTAACAATCTGAGACAGAATAAAAAATTTTCAAGAATTTTTTGGAACAAATTATTTTCCCCCTCCCCGAGAATATCAAGGGGTTGGTCTCCGAAGGTTCTTTCCAATTACTAGTCTTGGGGAAACCTGTTAGGAAGAAGCAGTCTGAAACCCATAAGACTGAAGCAGTTATTCTTTTAATAACAATTTGAAATGTATATAATCGAAACCTGTACTTTCTCAAACAGAAATGGTTATTTTCTCAAACTGTTTGCTTTTAAGTGGCAATTATATTGAAACATGATTGAAACCCTAAAGAAAAAATACAAAAATTAATGTTCTTTTCCATATTTGTATTTCAGTTAATGCATAGTTGAATAAATTCATGAAAGTAAATTCAGTAGTTAGAAAGGTTTGATGGATTGGCTAGTAGAAAGGAGTAATGATAGGATTGTGTTTTTTCACCATTGTGGACAAATCCAAACCATCAAACCACTTGGCTCGCATTTTGTCATTTCAGTTTCACAAATTGATGTTTTTCTACATTGTTTGTTTGACCTAGATTCCAGAACTGTTGGTCATTGTTTAGCAATACGGTTGTCCAGGTGTTTGGGAGGGAACTAAATCTACCTTTAACGAGATTTGGGCTAAATGAGAAACGTTCATTTCAAAGGATTGGTATTTTGTTTTAATCAGTCTTTGACCAAATAAGCATGATCTATCATTAGATTCTCTTCAGATGGAGAGCGATATGAAACAGAGAATGAAATTGAGATAGTTTATATTTTCGGGACTCATTAGCAATAGAAGTAGCTCTAATTGTCCCTGTCTACTTGGCTATCCGTTGTTTTTTTACATGAATAGGAGACTAGGGGACTTTTCAGTTTTTTCATTGCCCAATATTTTATGAGGTTGGCACCAATGGAAAAGGATTGGATAAGCTTCACTGACATCCAAACAAGGCCCTGGCACCGTTCCTTCCTTGCGTCTTTTCATGGGTAATCTTCGCTGGATGTGGACCGCCTCCGTGGTCTAGTGGTTGAGCGTCCGCCCGGAGAGCGGAAGGTCCGGGGTTCGATCCCCGGCCGCGTCATACCAAAAGATGTTAAAAGATGGTACTTGTTGTTACCCTGTCTGGCGCTCGGCATTAAGGGGATAAGCAAGGACTGGTCGGCTCGGAGTCAGTATACTGTGTCTGAGTGGGGTATTGATGTTAAACTGCGGCATGGTATCTCAGTGGGCTAGCACTATAAATCGGCATCAGTCCGGTCTAGTACAAGCAGCGACACATACACACACGTGCATGCACGTCGCTATATAAGTGCAATAATCTTGGACGCGACGTTAAACCCAATTTCACCTCACCTCAGCTGGATGTGAGGATTCTTATTATGAAAGCGATATTCCTTTTTTTGCTCCCTTTTTTTTAACTTCTTTATGGTTCAGAGAGTTGGGTTTGATCTTGGGTGGTCCAAAAATACAATTTTGTTTATGAATGTTTTTGTTTCACGTGGCATAAGATTGTGTGGTCTGTAAAACTTTGAATGTAATTGAGTGGGGGAGAGGCAGGAAGTTTATGGTAACTAGTATACACTGCTGTCAGAAGACGTTTTATTCTCCTTAACACATGATCAAGACAAAAGGCAGTGCTATTAGGTTCCTAAAATAACAGTTCTTGTTGCATTTGGTTTGGTTTTTTTCACTTCAGTTCAGTGTTCAGGTGGACACTTGACTTGCCTTTGCATGTGTTTGTGATAGGTGCCACCGGCGGGGCAGGAGACACTCCCCTTTTTGTGATAAACTGGTGTCATCAGATTTTATAGTCATTCACAAAAACATGTTAAGGATATACCATCAAGTCTCGTTAATCCGACACTCGGTAATCCGACAATCGGCTTTATCCAACACTAATAATAGGAACCGATTAAATCAGTGCTATTTAGACCTGTTAATCCAACAGTTTCCCACTCCAACTCCAACACACTATTTTGCAACGAATTACCGAAATCACTCATTAAGGAGTCTCGTTAATCCGACAGCGATCAGCATACTCCGTGGTCATCTGCCCGCAAGTAAACAGCCCGTGTTTTGATGCGAGATAAGCCGGCCGGTAGCTGCATATTACAATGGCTGTAGAGATAAACTTGCTTAACAATAAACAATTAAACTTTTAATAAACAAGCCAATATTTATCACATGCTTAGATTACCCCAATCTCATTAAAATCAGACACAAGTTCTCGCTACCGCTGAGGACATCCCATTACAGGTCATGTTAGAACAACCTTTCACGAACTTTGACCGACCAATGAAATAACTATCAGGAAGTCAACATTAGCCAATCAGAAAGCAGCTTTCTTGAGCCTTGCACTAGTTTCAAACTGGAGACTTCTGTTCCAGACTATGCTTTTTAAAGTATTTTGAATCGGTCATACTGATACTATTTAATTTCATTTATCCGACATACTCGTTAATTCGACATAATTATCTGCAACCAACCATGTCGGATTAACGGGGCGGAACTGTAGTTGGAATAGTACATTGGGCCCAGATTTCTTATCATATGAGGGTTTTATCACTATTATTTATGCATTAAACAAAACAACAGAAAGGAAATGTTTGTTAGAGACATGTTGTAGTTCTTGGAAATGTAACCAATTTGTGACGGAGTGATGTGATCGATATCGTAGGCCACGTCAGTACAACAATTCCTTAATTGCAAGTGGAAAATACTGGGTTGCAGGGTTGTATTGTACAACGTGTCGAGTCAACATGATGTAATTTGCTCGTTGATTATGATGAAATCGAAACGTAATCATAGCTCTCAAGAAAAAAATGGCATTTTATCTCCAATTGGTTTAGCCGTGTCATTTCGTGCATACAATACTCTGTATGGCTGAATACTCATCTTTCTTTTTGGGAAAACAAATTAATTCATCAGAAATGTTGTGTCATATTTTTTATGTTTTAACTGTGGCTCTAACTGATGAATTGTTTGTTTCAAGAATCGGAAACATTTACAGCGGTAGAAACTGGCACCGGCACTATAGTCCTTACCAAACTGCCCAATAGTTAAGGCTTCATAAGGACTAGTAGAAATTTTCCATTTTTAAGGGTTTTGCTATATGTTAATATGAAAGGACTAGTGGACTAAAATGTTAGTTTCTATCTCTCTATCTCTGATTTAAAAATGATCTTCCAAATGCCTAATTTCACAATGTGAATTATATTTTTTAGACGTAGAAAGCATGTTCTATGCTTCGTTGATTTGTGAATAAAGGTACACAATATGATTATGACTACCTGACTCTGCAACCAATATGATGTCATAATATATTTGACACCTTCATCACCTGATGTTATTTTCGTGTTAAATGTTGCAATATTAGTCACATGCCAGCAGTCATCGCTGTGTGATAATGACTGGAGGTGACTCTAATATGTAAGCCCTTCAAAGATCAACCTGTAACATCATGTCCCTACACTCTAGGACCCGTCTGTTAATTATGTTATAGCACTTTTCTTTCTTCCTTATTACAATATGTGAAATTAGTTTTGTACTGCATGTGT